AATAACGAAGAAATAGATGCGCACACCTCCTAAACGTCTTGCTAGTGCTCGCCATAATAAAGGAAGAAAGATCGCTTTTACCACTGGAATGCACGCTTCAAACAAAACAATCAATGAAGATGAAGAAGAGGATGACGTGTTCTCCTGGCGCCTATTTATACTATAGTCGCACCGGTAGTGACGTCATAGGCTGTCGCCGGCCAACGTGTTGTTGGTGTTTTTTCAATGTATGCTTCAGACACGGGTCACGACGAGGCGTTCCCCATAGCGTCCCCTAGAGGACGCAGTTCAAAGTTCGAACTTGTGTTTCTCAGTGAAAAGTGTGTTATTTATCAGAAGTAGAAAAAAAAACTAAAACTAACTAACAACAACAATAAACTAAATGTAATAAAAAAGAAAAAAAGAAGAACATTTAAAAAATAATGTAATAGCCCTGCAACACAAGCCATTTTAATTCACCATAATGAAAATAAATTAATATAAAAATAAAATAAAATAAAATAGACCAGCCATCAATCGAGCTGATGTCACTTCTGGTGCAAACGTAAGAACAGACCGCAGGAAAAGAAATAGAGAAGAGTGTGGAAATAAAAGAATAGAACAAGACAAGTTAAAAAAAAAGTAAACTTTGCCAAGATGGGACAGAAGTGAGAAGTGAACAGGGTTAATGTTTGACTTGAAGGCTTTGGAGGAAGAGAAAAAGAGGTTGATAAAACAACAGCATAGGGAAGGAGGGAAGAGGGACCCCAGCTTCCGTTAATTCCTCAAATTTCTTTCGTGTCTGCAGATGAGCCTTGAGCGTGACAGTACGATCCTTTGAGCTGCAACTCGAATGTTCCAAACCGGCTCTGGAACAGCAGGCTTAACCGATATCTAATCCCACGTGGATGAGAACATTTGGGGCTAGGCAGTATATCTGTCTCTATGTGCGTGCGTGTGAAGTGGCAGCTGAAAGTAATTATCACCTTTGCCAAACAGAGGCATCTCAGATGTAGGGAAGTGTCTGTGATGAAAGAACGATGACATATCGCCTGCACCCCCTGCCACATGAAACCCTAAAGTGTGTCCCTCCCCCTCAGCATCCTGACACATCATACACACATCCCAGTCCACCCTTACACATCCTTTTATGTCTCCACACTTAGACTTTTCCATCAGCCCCTCTGGATAAGGAAGTCTACCAGGACAGGACAGCTGGGGCAGGGCGGTATCACAGAATACACCCTGTGACAGTTCAAATGTATCACCCATTATATGAAGATATATGGTGTTTATACTGTGGTCTATTCAATTTAAAAATAATCCATCTAGCTGAAAAATATAGCGTACACTCCAAAGTGTTTTGCAGACGGTGCTTAATGATAGCGATTTTAGTTTGACATCATGCAAAAAAAATAGGTAAAAAAATAAATGTGTAGATTTATAGAATTGTTTTCAAGTTTAAAGATATATTAAAAAATAAAATAAAATATATACTGCATCTAAAAATAAATAAATAAGTAAATAAATTTGGGGGCAGTATGTTTTTTTTTTTTTTAAGAAATTAATACTTCAGCAGGCATGCGTAACATTGATCAAAAGTGACAATAAAGACATTTATAATGTTTCAAAAGATTTATATTTCAAATAAAAGCTGTGCTTCTGAACTTTTGATTAATCAAAGATATCTAAAGGATCATGTGACACTGAAGACTGGAGTAATGACCATCACAAGAATAAATTAGAATTTTAAAGAAATTCTAAATTTAGAATTTTAAATATGTAAAAAGAGAAAACTATTATAATTAAATTGTAAAAATATTTCTCAACATTATTGTTTTTTTTCATGATTTATTTATGCATTTATTTATTTATTTATTCATTCAAATAAATACAGCCTTGTTAAACATAAGAAACTTCTTTGTACACTTCTTCATAAAATGGCTGTCATACAGGGCTGTCATTTTGGTCATAGCAGGGACTACTTGATCCCTAGGGACAGCTGTCCTCTCTGCTTAAACCAACTCTAGCTCCCTTTCATCTTTTTGGACAGCATATTCTGAATACTGCCTTAACAGAGTCCTACTATTAGTGCAAGACATCATCCCAATCCTAATGCATTGCAAATTATCTTGAATAATTGATTGCTCAAGATGAGATCAAAGAAATGTATGTGCATACCTTACAGTGGGGAACTAGGTCTGAGACTGGAAGGCACCCAAGCTATTAATTATCCTGTGCCTGTGGAAGGGGATCTAATAAACACACATGCAGTAGAGCAAGCGGATAAAAACCTCATTATTTGACCTGCAATACTCATATGTGGTCATGTAAAGATACATGTACTAAAGATGCATGAATAAACAGCACATCACATGCAAATACACACTGTAACAGCTGTTTACTGTCGCCAACAGGCTTTTCAACTAAATTATATAATTATATAAATTATATAATTATATCATTTTATCAGAAGGGAAGAGGAAGGTGTGGAGTTTTCTGCAGCTTACGGGTCACAGTATTGAAACATGATTTCCATCTAATAATATTTTTAATAACTCACACACACGTAAACACTCTCAAGCTTAGCTATGTTTACTTTTAGTGTTTACAGATTTCAGTGGTAAACACTTCTGATGTCTTCATGTCGTACTACATGTGGCTGTCAGCCAATAAAGGCAAACCTGATTGTGCATGTGATGTTATGTTTATTTTATTATTATGTTATTTAAATATATTACTATATAAAACCATTATTTTAAATTGTAATACTATTTAGTAGTATTACTATTATGATCAAATAAATGCAGTATTGGAGAGCATAAGGAACCTAAAAAAATAAATAATCAATAAATAATCAATCAATCTGACTGACTGACCCAAACTTTTAAAATACATTAAATATATATGTGAATGAATGTTTCATATATAATAACCCATGAGAGGCTAATTGTTACAGTGCTTTGGGGGTTAGGAGGAGTTTTAGGCACTTTGCTTCACAATGTGCTTAAGTACACTGTAATCACATGGCCTTTTATGGCCATGATTGCATCGATGTTTACATGACACTGACTAAGTACAAGCTCTAAGCAGGCAACATCGGAGTATCAAACTGTATTAAATTACAAAAAAAAGAGAGGTGACCTCAATTATTACATGTGGCCTGCTCGTCTGGCGCAAGTATCTGGAGGGGTGTACCAATATTAGACGCTCAATAACCCTTATGATATAATTACACTCACCTCACTGCTCATTTCCAACTATTTATGGACATAAAGCACACAGGATAAAAGGGAAATTTGATTAAGCGCTTCACATCTTCAAGGCACCTTACAAAGCCTTCAATGCAGCAACACCAAATCAAATGTCAATTTCAAACCACTTTAACACAGCAAGAAAGCAGTGTCTGGGGGCTCTTAACGTGTCTAGATGAAGGGCAGGGAAAGCATCTGATAAACAGCACAATTAAAGGGCCGGACAAATTAGGCAGAGCTCGGCTGCGAGATTTCATGCAAAATTACGCTGGCGAAACAAGCGGCAATTAACAAGGGGGCATGTTCATTCATTAGTGCGAAAGGGAGCGATTTGCTGGGGAAGGGAAGAGGTCAGCCTGTAGGACTGCCAAAGTGCTAATGTCCTCCTAGCTTCTCTGAGTCCTGCTGACTGTGACAGCACGATGAACAATACTGGCATTCATGGAGCTAGAGCTCGGCCTGCTAGCCAATCTACACTCGCGGCTAAGGCGAGAGCTGACAAATATACCATCAAACCAATTAGCCGGAGTATGGCAAGAGTGGTGGGACACAGCATAAGAAGGATGGACATACCGAGTCACTTGAACAAATGGATTTGTTTTCTGGAGGCTTGTTTCCATCACGGGGAAAAAAAAAAACATTAAAAGATAACTGCAAATTCTGACCTTTTTCCTCGCAATTGAGAGTATATATCTCGTAATTCGGACTTTTGTTCTTGAAATTGTGAGTTTATATTCTGCAACTCTGACTTATTTTCTCAGAATTGTGAGATATAAAATTGCAATTGTGAGTTACAAAGTGCAATTTTGAGGGGAAAAAGTCAGCCCACAATTCTGACTTTATAACTAGCAATTCTGGGGAAAAAAAAATAAATAAATAAAAATTTTGATGTGCGAGATGTAAACTTTTATTATTATTATTATTCAGTGGCAGAAAGAGGCTTCCATTGTTTTCCAATTTGGAAAGTAAACAAGAAATGTCTTGATAGAATATTAATAAATGGCATTGTGTCATCATAACCTAAATTAATACCAGTTATTATGCAGGAATAACTAAATTTGGACATTTCAAAACAAAATGGCAGCTACTCTTCCGAGGTAATGGTCTAATCAATAGCATTCGATTATGACTTCTGATATATGAATGTTAAATGCCAGAACTTGCTTCTTCTGAAAGGTCAAATGATGTCAGTCAATCGCCATGCCGTTTAAAATGTTCAAATTTGTTAAATTGTTTAATATTATTGTTTTATTGTAATATATAGTATTATACATATATTAAAAATAGATATATTATATACAGTGCAAAGTGTGTATGTACCTATTTAATCATATTTGTGGGGACAACTGTGTAGCCAGAAGTGAGCTAAATCTAGCAAAACTTTCTTTTGGGGATGTCCTCATTTGTAAAAACACAGCAAGTCCGGGTATGAGTTAGGGTTATTATTAACTAGCTGTATATAAAAACAACAGAAGTCTACAGAATGTCTCCATTCACAGTAGATAGTAAACATGTGTGCATGTGTATATCTATAGACATGTAACACGTTACAACCCCACACACACACCCACTATGGTATAAGGAGTACCATAACGGTACTTCTTTCATGACCCAATGATCCAATTAAGGACGTTTCTAGAGCTTGGGATCGTCAGCAAGGTCGAAGATATTGGATGGAAGTTACATTTAGAGGTAGATGAAGATATCAAAAGCAAAACAGAAGAGACAGATGGTGAGGAGGAGGGTAATGGAAAAGCAGATACCCACCCGATGGTGCTTCCAAGTGCCGCCTCAATGGTCCAGACACAGTGCAAGTTGTGCTCATAAGGCGCTGGGTAACCAGGAGATAGAATCCGGCCCATGGGCTCATCTTTAATCGTTCCTCCACACTCGGCTGGGTGAAGAAAGAGATAAACAAAGGCACAATCCTTCAATGACAGCTCACAACACTGCAGCACAAAACAGTACATCTTCTACAAAAAGACATGAAACAAACACAGCTGAGTCCAAAAGTCGGAGACCACTAGTGAAAGTGCTTTTATTGTACAATTTTAATAAATATTTATTTAAAATAAATAAATGTTTTAAATAATATAATATAATATAATATAATATAATATAATATAATATAATATAATATAATATAATATAATATAATATAAAA